CTGATCAGGTTTAGAAGAGCTTTACTGTGCTAAGAAATTGCACATGTACCTGGGCTCTGGGTTGTTGCGATATCTCAATCACTGAATAAGAGCAGGAAAGTGACATGATCAGCTAGCTGTCTGGGTGGGAAAGTGTAACATGGAGGCTCAGAGACCACACAAGTGAAATGAATGCCTAAATTGGGGCAGTCAAAATGGGGAGATAGGGGAGAGTCGAAGAAAGATTAAAAAAAAAAAGAATGCTTTTATTGATTTTAGAGAGAGAGGAAGGGAGAGGGAGAAATAGAAACATGCCTCCTGCATGCCCCCTACTGAGGATTGAGTCCGCAAGCTGGGCATGTGTCCTGACCTGGAATTGAACTGGCAACCTCTTGGTGCATGGGACAACGCTCAACCAAATGAGCCACACCGCCTGGGCAAAGAAAGATTTAAAAAATATATATATATTTTATTGATTTCTTACAGAGAGGAAGGGAGAGGGATAGAGAGTAAGAAACATTGATGAGAGAAACATCGACCAACTGCCTCCTGCACACTCCCTACTGGGGATGTGCCCACAACCAAGGTACATGCCCTTGACTGGAATCGAACCTGGGACCCTTGAGTCCGCAGGCCGACGCTCCTATCCACTGAGCCAAACCAGTTAGGGCCAAAGAAAGATTTTTTAAAAGAAAATCAACAAGACTGGATTTTGATCCAAACACCAGTAGGACCTGGTGTCTGATTAGATGGAGTATGTGGATGGGAAGGAATGTAGGATGAATCCCAGATTTTTTGGTTGGGCAGTGTTTAATACAATACATGAGCAACAACATGTTTAGGGTCGAGGTGGAGGACTCTATTGAGTAGGGAAAGATGACAAATTTCTATCTGGGCATACACAATTTGAGATGCCTGTGGGATGATTAAGTGAATATATCTTTTTAAAAAAACATTTTTATTGATTTCAGAGAGGAAGGGAGGAGAGAGAAACATCAATGATGAGAGAGAATATTGATGGGCTGTCTCCTGAATGTTCCTTACTGGGGATTGAGCCTGCAACCTGGGCATGTACCCTTGGCCAGAATTGAACCCGGGACCCTTCAGTCCACAGGCCGATGCTCTATCCACTTAGCCAAACCAGCTAGGGCAGGTGAATATATCTTTTAGAGTCACAGTTCAATTCCCAGTTGGGGCAAGTGCCTGGGTTGCGGGCTCAAGCATTTATGTCTGGGGTTCCCTAGACATAATAATAGACAAACATGTAAATTGACCGTCCCTCCGCTATGCTCACCAGCCAATCAGGAGTATGCAAATTAACCCAACAAAGATGGTTAATTTGCATATGTAGGTGCGAAGCGGTGGAGCGAAGACTGAAGGCTCCGGCCAGAGCGAAGGCCTGGGTCCTAGGTGCCGGAGGAAAACCGGTGCTGGCAGCCAGGGGAAGGGAAGGCCTATTGCACAAATCTCTTCGTGCAATGGGTCTCTAGTATATATATATTTTAAAGATCTCTTTTAGGTAGAATCTTGTTCTAACTGGAGTTTAAGAGTGGATTCTAAGGTAGGAATGGAATGACATGTAGGTAGTAATTGATTTCTTAAATTGAATCTTTATTGTTGAAAGTATTACATATGTTCCCTTTTTTCCCCTTCTAGCATGCCCCTGACCAAGGCCTTCACCATCCTATTGTCTGTGTCCATAGGTTAGGCATACAAATTATTTGGTTGATCATTTCCAACCCACCCTCTCCTGCCTTCCCTCAGATTCCACAGCCTGTTCTATGCTGCCTTTTTTTTTGTTGTTGTTAATCTTCACTTGAGGATTTTTTTTGTTGTTGTTATTGTTAATCCTCACCTGAGGATATTTTTTCCATTGATCTTTTTTATTTTTTAAAAAATATATTTTATTGATTTTTTACAGAGAGGAAGGGAGAGACATAGAGAGTTACAAACATCGATGAGAGAGAAACATCGATCAGCTGCCTCCTGCACATCTCCTACTGGGGATGTGCCCGCAACCAAGGTACATGCCCTTGACCGGAATCGAACCTGGGACCCTTCAGTCCCCAGGCCGACGCTCCATCCACTGAGCCAAACCGGTTTCAGCACCATTGATCTTTTTTAAAGAGAGAGTGGAAGGGAGGGAGGGAGGGGGAGAGACACAGAGAGAAACATCGATGTGAGAGAGAAGCATTGATCGGGTTGTCTCCCATATGTGTCCTGACCAAAAATCAAACCTGAAATCTTTTGGTGTATAGGATGACACTCCAACCAACTGAGCCACCCCATCCGGGCTAATTTTCTTAGTTTGCTCAGGGACAAAGAGAAATGAGAAGAGTAGAGTAGGGAGCCCTATGTGATTAATTCATAGCACTTAAATCAATGAATACTCCAGATCTAGATTGGTATTTTCATTCTCACTGTAGTTTCTCTTCTATGTATCTATTTTGTTCTCCTACCTTTGGAGCTTCAGGTCCTCATATATAATGGGAATGATAATACAATCCATTCTGTAGGCAATTGTGAGGATTGAGGTCACATAAGTCATACATATTAAGTGGCCAGTTCATCATTTGGTGCTGAGATACTTTTTCTTCTGAGATTATGTGTACACACAGGGAGAAGGGAGTGAACAAAAACCTATGTACTGTTTTAAGCACTTTTTAAAAAATATATTTTTAGTGGTTTCAGAGAGAAAGGGAGAGAGAGAGAGAGATAGAAACATCAAAGAGAATCACCGATCAGTTGCTTCTTTGCATGCCCCACACTGGGGATTGAGCCCTCAACTCCGCCCGACCTGGAATCAAAACCATGACCTCCTGGTTCATAAGTCAATGCACAACAACTGAGCCATGCAGGCTGGGTTTAAGCACTTTCACATGAATTAACTCCTTTAATCCTCACAATCCACATTATCATTGTGAGATTAAAAGCATAGCAGTTAAAAGCTTAGACTTGATCCAGACTGCCTGGTTTCAAATCTTACCATTTTATAACTGTACTAGAGGCCTGGTACATGAAACTCGTGCATGGGTAGGGTCTCTAGGCTTGGCCGGGGATCAGGGCCAATCGGGGCCTTTGGGCTGCTGTCCGGGACCTTCCTTCATTCCGCGCTGCCCCCCAGTGGTCAGCGCACATCATAGCTAGCGATTGAACTCCAAGGGGACAATTTGCATATTAGGCTTATATATATAAAGTAGGTATATTGCCAGGTATTAGGTAGGAGAATTTGGATTAAAACCCAGGCTACCTACCTGACTCCTGGTATGTGGATTTGGCTTTAGTATGGTCCCTTCTGGGGTCTCAATTCTTTTGACTGCTGGGCAGTGGTTTTGGGGTTACTTCTTCCATCATTCTGAATTTCCCATGATTGATTTTTACTCTCTGACAGTTGCTGAACTTTGTGAAAGACATATTCCTTATACTAATTTCATAGTTAGAATGTTGCAATTCTTTTAACATAGCACTCAGTTTATATATTTTTAAATTTTAAATTATTTAGATAGACTTTTTTTGGAGAGAGGAAGGGGTGAGAGAGAGGAGAGAGAGCAAGACAGACAGAAATCAATTTGTTGTTCCCCTTATTTTATCATTTATTGGTTTTTTTAAAATTTTATATTCATTTATCTTTATTTTCTAAAGTTTTTAAATGAACATACATTACTAATGTAAAAAACAGTTTCTAAAACATTGGTTGATTCTTCTATGTGCCCTGAACAGATCAAACCCGCAACCTTGGTGTATCCAGACCACGCTCTAACCAACTGAGATACCCAGCCAGGGCATAACATTCAATGATCTAACCTACATCATTTTCAAAGGCTGTATGGTTCATATTTCTTTTTGTATTTTTATAGAACATTTTATATTCTATTTGTACCATGACTTACTTAGGCAAGACTGAGTCTTTGATTTCAGTATTCTCGAACCCTAGCTAGCACTTCGCCTATGCACTTAATAAATGCTGGCTCAAAGTATGAATGAAGCTAAGGACTGCGAACACAGACTCAGAGTTGGAGGGTCGGTCTGGAGTTCTAAAGTTCGGGAGGGGACACGGGGGCGGGCCGTGGCTGTCACATGACGAGGCGGAGCAAATCCCATGTGCTCGGCGGCGCCGGGCGCGGCTCCGCCCTCCGCGCCGGTCACGTGGGGGCGCCGGCTGCGCCTGCGGAGAAGCGGTGGCCGCCGAGCGGGATCTGTGCGGGGAGCCGGAAATGTTTGTGGACTACGTCTGTGCGGCTGCTTGCGGCTCGGTCTCGCGGACTGAAGGATACTGAACGTAAAGCCGCATGTCTGTGCCCCGACCCCGGCTCCCCTTCCCCGCCCTTTCTTCTCCTTGATGTCTCCGGCTGCGTCCTCTTACATCCTAGAGCCCTTCCCAAGGCCACGTGCCCCGGCTGCTCCGTGATGGTAGAGACAGACGGAGGAAGAAGGGAGGCTAGGATGGTGAGCATCCCT